TTTTCCCGCGCTATAATATACACATGTACTTTGCCTATATAAGACATAAAATCCTCATTCATTCTTTTATTCCTTCTTCTTCCTTTGAGTTTATGCGTCTGGGTTTTCTGCGCTTGTTTCATGTTGCTATGGGTTTAATTACCCAAGTATGAGGTTTCACTCGCAATAAACTGCAATTCAACGCGTGTCTTCACATCGTTCTGCTTCAATCAACCACAGTGGAATAGGACTCAACTCTTATTCTATAATCAAAGGATCAACCTTTCAAAACAGTTGCAATCCCTCTACTCTTCCTAAGAATCTATTAGAATAAAGCTAACAAAACTTTCACGAGAACTATATGCTATTTCAATGACGTATATAGTGAAGTTGATGTGACGGTAAAGATCTAGGCAAGAATTTACCATTTTAACCGGCAATGACATGAGAGAAAGGACATCTCTTTTGCACTACTTGTCTTATCTAACCTCATTTCTTGATCAGAGGGAAGTGTTACACCAACGAATTCATTGCATAAGCATGTTCCCACAACTGTTGTAAAGTGTAATATTGAACCTCCTGAGGTAACTAACCCATTAAAATTTTAACTTTGAGAATATATTAACTCATTTAATCTTCCAATGATATATTTTCATTTAGTATAGCGTATTTCATACCGATGTAACTGTTCACGGACCAGTAGCGTGTATTTCTGGAGTGTAAGCCGACTTCAAAAAAAAGTATGGGTCGGCTGTCAAGCGATCTGTTTATCTGATTGGTCTATTGATGCTTATAGATTGATTCGCCTTTGTGGCAAAAATCTAATAGCAACTTAGTTTGCTATATGTTTTATAATTTTCTCATTCCATCAACTTTAACCTTGTCAGGTAAGAAGTGCGTTTTGATGGGTGAGAAGTACATATAAAGTAATTAATGATTCAGAAGTGCACCCGGTAATCAATTCATATATATTTAGCCGTTAGTGACAGTAATGTGCGGAAAACCTAATCAGCCACAATTGATAGCAACGAGTCTAGACCCAGATGATCTTGGAATTAAATCTACGTGGTTCTGTGAAGAAATTTGGATGCAACGTCTCTCAAGCATTCTGCTCCATTCTTTTAACATGCTACAAATAGATTGCGCTAACCTCCGATATCGTATATCGAAATTGAGAAATGCGAAGTCTGAAGTTGAAAAAACTTAACTGATGCACATTACCCTGAATTATACAAGTCCTGAATATCTACAAAAAGTTGATATGAGTCTTATCATATTGCGAACGGCTTGCTGGAATATAATGTCAGATGAAGTTAAGAAAATTGTTACATATGGAACTGTGATACATCTTTAGTCTTAGGTGACGAAATAATAAAAAAAATCAATTCATTGCAAATCTTGACTAGAAATACGGTTCTGCTAACAGGTTCCCAAATAACGAGAATAGGAGGGAAGACGGACAAGAGAAGAGACGTAATTCAATATATTTGTCTGTTTCATTCTCCTCCTCGTTTGATAACTGTTAATGATTACGATAAAGCCAATGCCATTAATTACTCAAGTTTTGATCTTAGTAATGGCAGGAATAATAATGACATCGGAAGGAGTCGGCGAGCAATGTAGCGGTGCGTCATCGGCCAACGTCGTGGGTGGTCTCGTGCAGCAACTCTTCGCGCTGCCGATAAATCGTGTTTAACCGTAATTCAATAAAGTGTTTGTGATTCGGGACGGAGTAGAATAAGCCAAGACCAAGTACAGCAAGCCTTTTTTGCGGTTTGTCCTTATTTGGCGGGAACTAATGCATTTGAGTGGGATATTATAGGTAGAACAAATGATTCTGTTCATTTCTTTATTCAGTATTTTGAAATGAAATTGACTAATTAACTAGGAAAGTTAAGTAATTTTAAAATGGATGTATCTATTAGTGTTAGGTCTTTGTAGTAGGAAATTCGACGTGATAAATATACATGCCATATATACATGCTAGGTATATAAATTACATATAGCATGTATACAGAGCATTTAAATGCTTCAAAGATAAGTTGTCCGATGACACTTTCGTTCTGATCTCTCTTATATGATAACCTATTACATAATAAACTGTAGTTAATCAATGAGTTTATCATGCAGAGGCTTTCGGATTTAGTTTGAAGATCAGTCATCTATTCAGCATTGATCTAACTTGACGCAAATTCGATAAAAGTGGTAATCTTTGTAGAAAAGCGGAAGAGAATGAATATTTAGCTTGCGTCTCAGTTCTGCTTCTTCATGTTCTAATGATCTGCTGAAACTGTTCAAATGTTAGCTGATATATTCATCTTTTATGAACTGTCGACATTGCGGTACTATTTAATGCTGTATGGAAGCAGTTGTCTTACCATTAGCTTTAGTGAAACTTTAGGAATTGAATAGTCATATAATTTCGTTCAGTTGTCCAAATGGAACCTCTCGATTAGTTTGGAGTGGAGATAGGATTCTGAGAGATAAATGCTTGTTGTACAAAAGGCGCCTATGATACTACTAATTTTAAAAGGAATTTGCATCGGCGAGCGAAATTTTAGGAAGCTGTGAGGAATCAAAGAAATCGAATTCAAATTTTGTGATTGCTTTGCTTTGCTATGCTTACCGCAATTTCGCTGCGAATAAGGTCATATTTTTGTACAAATTTTCGTTTGACCATTATTAAGGGACAAATTTTATTTGGCCATTATGACGACAGTATTGGTTCTTCATCTCTGTCGGCAGTTAGCCGAATTAGTATTACTGCTGGATCTTCTTTTTCTGTTGATGATTATCTTGTGAGAAATAAATTTTGCATTTAAATGTTTCTGAGCCTTCGTGATATGGAAGAAAGAAATGAAGAAGTTCACCAGTTGTTTTCGATACTCTATGCAGCATTTATCGAATGCGGACAAAAAACCAGAAAAAAGGATGAAGCGAAGAGAATTGAAGGTTTTGTGCTACTACAGTAGTCACCATTTACCTGCGTTTTTAAATATAATACGGTAATGTGAGGTTTCCATTAATGAGTTACCGGAGGGATTTCAGGAGTGTTGTGGTGGAGGGGAGACTGGAGTTGACATGGTGGTATGTGGAACTTTTAAATGATCACATATACTGACTTCAGGAATGATGTTCCGAGATATACGCTGGCTTAGCAGTCGTCCTCAACAATTTATTGCTCTTTCCACTGAACAGATGGCATTTTATGAAGATGTTGGTGAGGTTCGACCAAAATTACTTCGATGTTTACCATTCAACGAAGCCAGTGAACTGGTAATGTGCTCTGATTTGTTGTAGAGGACGGTTTCGCTGGGGAGTGGTGATGATAAAGAAGATCATGCAAATTTTAGTTCGTAGTGATTTCACTGCTCCATTTTGGTTTTAAAGAGATACGTACATAGAGGGAAGATCTTAAATAAATGTGTCTTTTAAGTAGTTTCTGAAATATTTACGCTGAATGAATACATTCGTAAAATGATATTCATTACGGCTGTAAGCTGGGTGATGTTTCGAAATTGGAATGTAATGATATGATTGACATCACAAGAAGAATGATGACATCTATGGAAGGCGGTTTCAGAATTTTTATGTAATCATAATAATGTTTATCCATCAACTTAAATGCAAACTAAATGGAGCTGAAAACAGTATTAGCATTGGGAGATGGCATGCAGGTTCAGCTATCTTTTATGATTTTAAATTAATTCGTTAACGAAAACGCTGTATAGGAAATAAGACTTACTTGAGTATTTTCAGGGACATTTGCAATGTTTCGACCTAAGTCCTTTGTCTGATCAGGCTTTAGCATTGGGCTATGAGAATGGCAAAGTGATGATAACTAACGTAGCTGCTGAGCCAGATATTAGGTATGCTTTTGCATTGATTATCGTTCGTTGACAATTCTTCGTCGTGAGACGATCAGTAAATTTGCTCAGAATTTTCTCCCAACACTTACCACTTTTGTTTTCGTGCATAAATTAGATTGTTTCAGAAATTTGAATGATACTGTGGAATTAGTATGTGATTTTCCGAAGTCAGTTATTTTCTTAAACTTCAGTTCTGTAGCAGATGCTTACTTAGCTGCATGTTTAGAAGGGTGAGTTTTTTATGTATATTCTATTTGTGATCGCTAGCGAAAAGAAATAATCCTTTATATTTCTCAAAATATGATTTTTTCAGTGGACGTTCTCAAGATTATGCTGTCTCTGTGTATGACATCAGTAATCCGAAAACGCATATTTTTTGTGTTAACTGCAATGAACGGGTGATAGATTTGACTTGGATCAGGTAGTACTATTTATTTTGACGATAAGCCTAGATTATTCAAATTTTCAGCTTAATGAGTAGTTATTCAAGTAATTTAAAATTTGGAAATCGTCCACGTTTCATATATTTTTCTTTTCTAATTATTTTAACTTCTTAAATTCAAAAAAATGTCTATGTGTTTTGAAATATAGGAATGATCCGAGTGTGTTGTGTCTGGGCTGTTCACGCTCAATAAGATTTTTCGATATACGAGAAGGAGGTGCACGGCCAGTTTGTTCTGTGCCTGTTTCAAATCAGGTGCGAAGCATAAGTGCTGGTGATGTACATTTTTGCATTGCATGTATAATTGACGATTTTGCTTATATATACGACCGAAGGCATTTGGAATCTCCCTTACATAGGATGCAAATTTCTTATTTTGTAAGTCATATCTATCGTTTTGAATGAATCTAATAAGCTATGTTGTTTCTCATATCCCATTCTTTCATTATTGTAGCCACGTGGTATTGAGTTTTTATTTCGGTAACAGAAATTTCAGATCAGAGATAATAATAAAGTAACGAATGACGTTTTGATTGCATATTCTTTGATCATTTTTACATTCTCGCCGTTTGGTTAATGAACGAATAATGTGAAATATTTTAGAAGAAGAATGACGCAGGTGCAGTGAAAATATTATGGAATCCTCATTTTCCAACTTGCTTGTCGTGCTTCCGCCGTAATTCTAGAGTTGTTACAGAACTTATATCACCATGTGAAAGCATTCTAGAAGAATATACTACAACAGAAATTCCAAGTGTATGTTCTAGTTGTTGTTTTCATTCATCATTGCACTGTTGTTTTGGATAGAAGTAATAAGTGAGTGGTCTTTGGAAAAGCACACATGTGCTGTTGTGAGTGAAGATTTGTTTAGTTTCCAATGTCGGATGCAACTGATTTGGTTCAAGGCGGATTTCGTAACACGCGGTATTCGGAGGATGTTGGCTCCATGAAGTTATCATATCCCTATTTAGAATTGAATTATAAGGTACGTCAAGGATGGGTCTTGTTTATATTTGTTATTTTTGCTATCATATCTTAAAAATACTAAGTCATTACACTTGAAATCTTAACTGCTTTAATGCTGATTATTCTTCTGACTGAAATCTCTATTTGTAATGAATTTCTTTTTCAGTTCTTTGGCATTTCAAGAGTTTCTGGATTCACCTGGCATCCTGAAAATTTTGATCGATTATTGGTGGTGGCACCAGATGGAGGACGTGGTGCGTTTGAAGTTAGACTTGCTACGGTTCGTCATTCATTTTGAACGCACTCGTTGCAATAATGGTGTTATGCTTAATTGGTTTGTAAAAACAGTTTTTATTTTTTTACAGGTGAACAAGTTTGTGACAGGCGACTATTCATCGCAAGGTTTTGTGGCTCATGCTTCCGGTAGTCAGCTTTATGTGCGTAATTCAGAACCAGTTGCAATTGATGAATCAGCAGATATATCGTTCGTGATGAAGAGTCGTGCTACCAGAAATTATGGTTCTCCTCCAAGCACTACTTTGGAAGGTAATCCAAAAAATAGAGCTTCACTTTCTTTGTTGCAGTGTAATTCCCAAAGCATTGTAGCCTTACTTCAAATGATAAAACAGTTACAGTGCTCTTAGTAATGATCTGAAATTAATTTCAGCATATACACGATATTGCAAAGAAATTATCGATTTCTGTCCGTATTCAACATCTGAAGTGAAATGGCTATGGAAATGGATACGCTACATGATTAGTATTATGGACTGGAAACCGTGTGTTTATGGGACATTGTAAGCTTGGGTTTATGAGCTTTCAAGATTTTTTCTTTTTGCTGCTATTATTTTGAACTTGCAGATTTCCGGGTGTTATGAATATAATGGAACACAGTTTAGATCCGGACAAAGATGAACTTACTACGGAAGAAATATTTGTTTCTGATCCATTCCTTGGAAACATCAGAGTGAGTTTTCATCCCTTATAGAATTGGTTGTGTTTTCTTTGTGTTTCTTGCTGATTTCACTCATGTTTAAGCTGCAATGCACTTGGGCTTTAATGAACTGTATAATTTCTTTCGAACTGTCTGTTTAATACTTTTAATACTTTTGAATTTCTTGAATACCTTTTTATTCTGGTCATTTGATAACCTTTAGTTCACGTTGAATATACTAAGAAAAAGAGGCAGTAAAGATTCGTTTTCATCTATCTTGATAAACGTAAATATCACTATCGCTGATTCTACAGTTGTACAGAGGAAAAGAACGAGATCGAGTCCTACAAATGTGTGGTTGGCCTGCTCTTGGAGACATCGTACAACTGGATGCATTCATTGACAAAAACATTGTAGAAAGGTTCATTGCTGACTTCATTCATTAAGACGTCCGTCTTATTGTCGTACTTTAGCTGCTGACTGGGAAAAAAATCAAAGTCAGTAAGATGAGTAATGCTGCTTTTGTCATTGATAATCAATCATTCGCTTACAACAGTCATTGCTAAACATTTTTCAACCTAGCATCTCTACTTGAATATAAAGTACAGATAAGCATAAATTGAATGCTTTTTTACAGTATTTTAAAAGCTTTACTGCTGTTTAGGAGGACACAAAGTCGAGCAATAGCTGCAGCGCTGGTTACAGCTAATTCATCCAGAATGGAAAAAGTGAGCACATTTGCAACAAATGTTAGGAAGTGTATAATGTAATATTTTTTCTCATCCTGCCATTTTCTTCCAGGCTTTGAATTCGATATTGGAGAAGGCCAGAAAGTTAGGTGCTGAGGGCCTGCTGGAGATGGAAGCTTTTCAAGAAGCTTTGCAGTATTACCGCGAGCTGCCAGAACAATGGTAATACTTTACATGTAACTGATCAAGTTTATTCATGAATCATTTATGTCAATGATTTAAAATTAATTTAGGAAATCGATTTCCGAAGGTCTCAGAAGCATCGTCAAAGATCCGTATTTCAATATGATCATAACATTTCTGGATGACCGTCATGATAATGTTTCCAATCTCCACTGCATTATCCACCAGCAATTAAGTTATACATCTTGATGAAATAATTCAAAAGGGGTTATCGAGGGGACTTAATTGTTGGCTGTTGTGGAAAATGGACATGTAGAGAGCTAAATTTTAGGACATTCCATTGGAGGACAGGATTGCTTTTGCTGCCATTCACTTTAGTGATCAATATTTTATGAAATCGGTGAAAGAGTTATTCACGGATGCGTGTTTATATCGAACACTTTTTGGTTTATTCATCATTGGTATTTCGTACGAAAAGGCTACTCATGATTTATTGTCACAGTAAGTGTGGTTATCATATTTGCTGAAAGGAAACTAACGAATGTATTAATCTGCTAAATTTTTTGATTAGAATCATTTTGTGTAAGAAATAGTGTTAAGGTGTTCTGTTTTGAAATAGTGTTAAAGACTTTGTTAATATTTAGATACGTGGATCACACGGGAGACATACAAACAGCTACAATTCTGTTGATTGTGGGACGCTGTTTTATGAAGAAATCATCCTGGTCTGTAGCGTATTCGGCCGAAGAAATTGCTAGCACTGATTTTGAATTAAAGGCTGTTGAAGATAATGAAATGTGCAGTCAATTGTAAGTATCATTCAGCTCTTTCAACTAAGCTAAATTTGCAAAAGTGCGCTGTAGAGGCTGTATTAGTAGATTATTCATTCAATCTTGTAAATGTATCTGTTCTCTTTATTTGTTTTTATTATAATTCCTTTCATTTGACAGAAAGTGAGTGCTTCCAGAGATGAACATATCAGACGAAGTTATACCATTGTGTGTGATTATCTAGATATGCTGAATGTGTGGGGTATGTGGGTCCAAAGGGCTCGTCTTGATTGTATATTTGGATGGAGGCGAGAAGCCATTTTACTGAAATCAGGAATGAATCAAAATGCTGTGCAGGTTTGTATCCTTTGTTAGTCTCTGGAGGTTTTTTAAAGCGTTTTTTTTTTGCATAATTACTTATCTACTTACAAATTGGTTTTCAGGCTGAAATTTGTTGTCAATTTTGTCCCCAGAATATCACATTGGATAAGTCTGATATTTCGGCAACTTCCATGCCTTCTGCAGTACTCGTACCTACAACCCGATCGAATATATCCACAACGTTAGTCTAACTTCTATCCAGTAAAATGGATCAGTCTTCCATATATAGGTTTGCTTCATATCAGACTACGAGACTTATCGGGTGACAGTTGTCCATTATATACGATTACTTCCTAGTGGAGTTCACTGATAAGCAAAAAATTCAACTGATGTATGCTAAAATAAATTTTTTCATTATCTCTTGAATTTGTAAAAAACCGATAATTCATAGATACAATTCAAATTTTTTACAAATTTAAAAAATTAAGGAAAAATTTTTAGAAGATTAGATATTTACTTTCAGATTATTAACTTCCCCATCAATCCCAGCTCGAGAAATGGCATGTTCCCATTGTTTGAAGCCACTTCCGAAATGCATACTATGTCGTAGACACATGGGTTCATACGTTCAAACAGATTGTCACGAACTTGGCCACTTATCTTCTTGGTTCACCTGGTGTCAAGTACCATTTACATGTTTTTTGTTTCGAAGCTTTGAAAATCGACTTAATTTGGTACACTCATTTGTGAAGAGATGATTCGTTAGGGGTCAAGTTTTGATTTATGGTTAGTTTTAATGCAGTGCAAAACAATATTACTCTGTGAAGTAGTCGGTTAAATTAAATTCAACTATTGAAGTCTTTTTTCAAATGATACACACACACACATAATTGGGAAAGCAACTAGTTTACTTTTATTTTTTTATTGCTGCTGTTTCACCTTTGGAAATTTGAAAGAAAATCTAATACATCATTGTAACGATAATTATAATTTGTTAACGAGCAAAAACGTAATAATGGTTCAGACTTGGAAATTCACCCACTAAAGCGCCATTTTAAGAGAAAATGATGTCATTAAAATATTAGTGGTGTTTAGAGCCGCATATTGTTCTACTGGCATTTTCTCACCGACATTTATTGATTTAAAGATTTCAAAGATGATAATAAATGCATAAAATTGGGATCAATATAGTGTGATTTTCCGTTTAGAAATGCCGTCACGGAGGTCATATGGCACATTTATGGCACTGGTTCAATGATCATGCGGAATGCGCAGCAAGTGGTTGTTTATGTAACTGCAAAATGGAAAACATCGATTTCATCGGATTGAATGTTGACCCACCGCAACCCTGTTTATTTTGTGAAGATGCGTGCTAAATGCTCAGCTAGAACTTGTCATGATCCACGAGGATGTTACTTTGTGAATTCGCTTTACTAGTTTCGTTTGAACAAGGTAGCAAGAAGTCATTCGAAATGACATCTTGCGCGTCTATAGTCCAGTTACTGTTCCTATTTATATTGTTTATATGTTCCTATATATTTGCAACCAATGCTTTTATACAATTTATACTCAGTTACGCTGTAACATATCATGATTGAATAGAATGTTGTCCAAAAGGTTTTGAAGCCAAGTCATATTTTCATATCGCGGAACATTACATTAATAATGTCTCTATTGATAAGTCATCATTTGATTGATAAGTCATCAACCTGCTTGAGAACCTTTTTCCTGAAGAATCTGCAATATATTGCTGTCTGCCGAAGTTGTTAATGGGCCTGTTACCAGTTAAAAAACTGGAGTTAGTCCAATAGCTTTTGCATTAGTGTATTAGCAGCAGCGAAACAAAATAATGTTCCTTTAAAAATTCGTGAAAATGTGAAGGGGCGATCAAAACACCCTCTTACGGCAGTACAAACACTTGTACAAGACACAAGAAAAGTTAGTGCCGGTGAGTGAAAGATCTTTTCCAGATAATCGTTGTGAATAAAAATCTCAGCAAGGAAAAAAAGAAACGGTATTAGATTATAAAATGACATGGAGATTGGCTGTAAATAGTAATCTAATTTCATGAGAATTCCTAGATGACAAGGTTCTATAAAATTATTGACAAAGGAATGCAAATTCATGATACATTTCAAACGATTCTATTTGCCATATTTCACAGTTACTCTGTCAGAGTTTCCTGTTTTTTCTTTCTAGAAAGCCGCATGCTTGTTCTACTCAACACTGTTTCGAGGACAGAAGGCATTCTTTGGAAGGTGTTTTGTGATTCCTTCGAAAAAGCATTCCTGTATCTGAAATCTCATTTCAATAGTTATAAAATTTGTAATGGTATACAATGAAGACTTGCCGGCGCTAATACTACTATAACCGGAATTTTATGAGTGGCAGGTATGCGATGAATATATGATGAGTTACTACGTTCTTATGTGTTTCTGCCGTCATGTGTGATTTGCAGGAACTGGCGCAATTGGAATAATTGGAATTGGAAGTGACTTATTCCTCTTTCAAGCATTAACTGTATGTGCAAGAGGTCAAGCATGGATAAATGTTTTGCACGGAAAAATGGGGGAGCTTGAAATAGGGAATAATGAATAACCACGATGATCCTGTTGAGTTGATGAAATGAATTGGGAGGATGAAGATCAGTGTAAATATATGTAGGAGATGTCGATACTGACGGTATTTTTGCTGATGAAGTTAAATCATTGCAGCATATAAAAGCGTAGGCGGTCATGAAATAGGTACCGTTCTTTTGTAAGACTATTTGAAACAGTTGGTATGAACGCAAGTGGGTTCAACACAGGGACTGAGTTGATGAATCTAACTGGACCTCCTGAAATATAATTTGTATTTTATGAAAGAAAAAGTCAAAAATGATAAGCCTTTAGTAGGGGAAAATTCTTGTTTTGACATTCCTTCCTCTACACCTTTCTTTTTTCATCACCAATGTCATCGGAAAGGATAGTGGTTACTTAACTTTCTTTATCATTTGAAAGGAAGATGAATGTAGAATTACCGGCAGTTTTCAGCAAGCTTTTCTGATCTCGTCGTTGCCGCTCTCTACTATATTCATCGATCAGATTGATTGCTTTCATAAATCTCATTTCAAATTCCATCTGTACACTTGAGACACACATCGATACTAACGCCAGTCCGACGATGAAAAATATGAAAAACACTGAGAACAGAGTTCTCATTTATGCATAAATTTTTAACTACTCAAATTATAGCTAATATTTTCTTTCTGTAAAGTGAAATATATTAGAGAAGTGTACAACTACTGCCAGTCAGTGAAGATGGTTTACAAGGAAAATAGAATTTAAAAAAAAACTGCATATGTTAAAGAGAGATTACCGCAAGCAAAATGAGGATGGGCTGGCATTTCGTCCCCTAATCCGACAGTGGTTAAAGAAATGAAGAAGAAGTAGAAAGCAGTGAAATAGTCCCAGTGCTCCCATATGCGAAATATGAATGAGCAAAGTGCGATGTAAACAATGATAATTAGTATTGCACCGTAAATTGGAAATGTTTCATAATCATCATTCTCATTGTTTGCATCCTGCAATTACTTTATAACGTTAAGCTTTCCTATACCTAATCATTTTAATTAATGATTACATATTTATTGGATAAAATAGCTGCTTTAACTTCCGTATAACTTCTAATTTTCCCTTTCTTTCTTAAATGATTGATACAATTATTGACGCTAATTCTGGCTCAGGCTTTCCTCTTATTCAAAATGTAATCTTAAGAGATGATCCTTTCGTGGCATATTGTCACATAACCGTTATCATTCTCCAATCATTCACAAACAGCTAAGATAAACTAAGGTGATTGAGCGAGAAAATGTAGTATTCTTCCTAGTTTATTTCAACAATTTAACAGTACGATGTAAATTATATACCTGGAAGAAAAATGCATTAAAAAGTATAAACGAACGTTTTCATTGCTGTCACGGTTATTGTTTTTTACTGCTTCACGAATTTTTTTTATTTTGACTTGAGCTTCATTAGAAACCTGATATTCTCTTGTCCTCCATCTTAAATAATTATAATATGAGCAAAAGATATATATTGCTGTATATTTTCAAAATTTCAATCGACTCACCTTAAAATAAATTGTGCAAAGCACTTGAAACATTTCCGGATAAAAAGCCAAATATTGCGTACGTACAGAAGAATCAGCTTTCCAAATTCGTTCAGTACTACTAGCATATACGGCACACCGAGTAAAGCATATAAAATAGTAAAAATCCGGCCCTTAGTGGTTTGGCACGATATATTTCCATATCCTGCATTTATTTTTATAATCCGGATCTTACTACTACATTACTACATTTATCATTAGTGCCTGATAGTTCATAAGCAGTATATATGTTGAGAGATAAATAATTGATATTCCAAAACAATGTGAGATATAGCATTATTAGCGAGAAGAGTTCAAAAGATAAAAACGCTTAGAAAACCTCCATAAGATTCCGTGAGTAAAAATGCTAGAAAACAAACCGATGGTGGTAAAAATAGTGCCACAATAAAATACAGCATTCCAATAATCGGCCCATCTCCAGAGATTATGCTTGTAGTTCAAGATGCCCATTAGCTCATCGTACTCCTCTAGTAGCCGTTCAAGCCTTCTATTACATGTTATCTGTTTTAAAAGTGGTGCTATCTACAGTTCCAATTGAATGTTCCAATTTCAATTTAACCACAATTCAGGATATAAAGGAATTTTTAAGTGTATGATTAAAATTTGTTTCTCATTTTGACAAAAGCCTAATGATACAAATATTGATTACACAGGGAGATATTAGCACATCTGTCAACTATCTGTTTAGCTAATAATTTTGTCAATTGATAGTTAGCAACTTGATCAATTACTTTGATCCAATTAACGGACCAAATTCTTTTCCCAAACTCTCAAGGAGTTATACTGAAAAATTATTGTTCCAGGTGAGAATATTCTATAAAGCTCACCTCGGTACTATTTTGTTCATCACTGCGTTCTGTAATAGACTGACAGTGTGACGACGTAAATAATCCTGATATTTTTTTCGCATAAATTTTATGGCGCTCTATGGTTTTCTGTAAGTGGGAAATGATAATAGAAATTCACGAAAAATGTGACAATTAATATCGATGATAAAGTTACTTGATCAAGCTGAGCAATCAGCTCACGTTCAGCAGGTGCTTCGAGCTGATGAACAAGTAATCCACCGAAAAGTGCATATGCAATTAGCACTAATAACAATAATGCGCATTTTATCCAACGGCCAAACTTGAATTCAAGATTGTACCATATCAACTTGATTGGATGGCAGCGGATTGGTCTGTTCGTAGACGATACGAATAAAACACTTAGTCTACATAATTTTTGTTAAGAAATAACTTTCATTAGATTAATCATCAAAATTAAGGTCATTATATTGATGTCTTAACATTTTCAGTCTATCCATATTTCTACTCTCAGGAATGTATCTTCATTTTTACATATCATATGACCATCTAATTTATCTTTTTCACATCACTACGAACAAATTCATTTAGATAAGCATTATATTCAAGTAAATCACTACTGCTAAGGATAACATCTAAATAGTATAGACAAAATTTGAATAGTACTCAATACTTTACACTAAAATAGTTTAAAATTCCTCCTAATATACTCAATATGAATTAAGCAATTTACTTGCTCTGACTGCTTAAGATTTCTTCAATGACATCGTACACAGTTGGCTGGCTGGTTTCTTCGTTATAAATATTGTATTCACCATGATCTATTGTATCCTAAAATAAACCATTAAGAACTTTAACCACTCCCTTTTGAATTCCCCTCAGCAAGTACTTCTGGATGATAATTGATTTTGTTTCATATCTATTCCTTGTTAAATTTGGAAACCAATAATTGTACACATAAAAATATGAGTTTGCATTTAAGAAGTTTTGCCTATTATCTTTAGCATTTGATCGCTTTTCTTATTGATAGCTATGTTTCGACTAATTCCTCTCTTCTATCACACCACTATCTATAAGAAAGGTAATGTTAGCGTGAGTAGTTTTAAATGGAGCCTTAAGTAACGCAGAGAAGGAATACAAAATGGTGGCGGTGGAAAAAAGTAGTACTTGTGCAGTACATCACCTCACATACTGAACAATATTACCGTGGCAACATTATTTCTATTCAAACCAATAGATTCCACGCTTTGTGTTTCTGCTGCAACCGATTCTCGTTTGTGAATTCTCGAGCTTTTTAAAGCATTTGTAAGAGAGTGTCTGTATTTTCTTCTGCAAAACTTCTGCAGCATCTGGAATTTCTATTTGTGATATTTATGAGCATGCAAAAGGTGATTATGTATCCCAAAGTGACCTGCTACTAGTTTTATTTCTTAATCACATGATGATAACCTTCAGCCCTTCGTCTTCTTGTTCAATGCCTGACCGGGTCAAATTCCATACCATGGATACAATTTTCGGAAATATCTCACCTAAAATATAAATGATATAGAAAATAAGGAAAACAAAATACAATTATATGGTTGCCTTCTTGATTCATGAAGTCTTCTCTTCCTCATCTGTCATTTATTCGAAGGAAATGCTAAAAGTAAGCTGAAAATTTAGTGAATTCAATAATCCAAAATATACGGCCAAATGACTAATCGTTCGGAGACATTTCCAACTTCTCGTTACCACCACTGTTAAGAAAATAAAAGTTGCTATGAATAATGATAAATGCATGTGTGAACGACACGAGTTATATTGGTTTTACATACGATAACAGTGCAGAAAAGAACATATAATGGGAAGGAAAAGGACATTAGTCCAGAGGACCAAAGGAAACAGGCAGAAGTTTGTAGTTGATATTATAGCATCAAATTAATTCTTTCTGCCGACTTTTATCATAAGGTATTTAGAATGTACAAAAGGGGTTAACCATCTTATTTTTAAAGACAAAGTGTTATTATAATATATAATAAACATTTTATATTTGTAGTGAGAGAAACTGGTTGACCTCTCAGACCAGTTTGTCTCTTATTCTTTTGAATGGTTCAATTATCTCAAGGCAACGAATTCCTGCGATTTCTTGCTGATACATGATAATTCATTCTTCAAGAACTTTAAAAAATTTTTTCCCGCGCTAACTTACTCTTCTTAAGATTGGAACAAGACTTTGATGATGACCTAATTTCATTATTTTAAGATTGGAACAAGACTGTGATGATGACATAATTTCATTACAATAGCATCTGATTAAAATTCAATTTCATTTTTTCACGTCAATTAACAAAAGCATCCACTCTTTCTTTTCTTTTTTTCGGATTTCCATTTTTCTCTACATATTATTTATTGTGAAATCCGCTTCAAATTACTCTACTAACCTCCATTGTTAAGAAGATTAGTGAAAAGAAAGATATGAATGATAAAATAAGTGATTATCATAATTCTAAAAGATGGATAAGTTTTTGAGAGAGATGAAAGAGGCATGGGAGCGAACAATGTACTGTATTGAGAAATGGTTCATTTGGTGCCTTTTTGTGGGAATCATGAACAGAGCATACGAAAAAGGCTAAGTGAGAGACAGGGAAATGAAAGAAGGAATAGAGGGTAGAAGCATTCCATCGCGCTTAATTCTCGACATTCATTTTCAGCAGGACCGCTTTACTGTTTAAACGTTTTTCTTCCTGAACGATATACAGCTGAAGTCTTACAGAAAGTCTGTTAGCAGTATCAACAGCAGCAGCACTTTTCAATAATAACAATCATTTTCCATTTAAGGGCAAAAAAAAAATAGATTCTCTGTTGTAAGCTTTTGTTATTCAGCTAACAGAATATGTCAAGCATAAAATTATGCAGGAAATGCATGCCTTTCAGTTTGCATTTCATGATGAAAAAACCATAGCAGTACATGCATGATTCAATATTAACAATGATCATAAATCGGCGGGATTTTTCCAGATCGGAGAGATAATTATACAGTTATCACAAGTTATCATTAATACTAATAAAGAAATCATTACTGTCCATATATATTTATACATGTTATTAACCATCAATTAAGCTACCCACTAGGTTCTTGCAAAGGTCATATGTCTCTTTTCTTTTGACCTTCCCACTATTACTCTTCATTGCAGAAAAACTTCCATTGTCTGCTTCCTTTTATTCTTCTCGCTGTTCCTCACTTCCAAATCAACGAAGAGGTCAATTACACATCTCTTCGATGCTCTACCAAATCAGATTGAAACATATGTATGTCATTATTTCTTCCATGCTGCTTTGATCAATTGTGTTGCCTTATCTCATTGTAATGATGCAGCTGCTATTAGCTAACTTTCATAATTATTTTTGCTATAATTTACCCAGCTTGAATGCAAACAGGCTACATTACAAACTGCATGATTAGATTAACTAAAATGTAACTTCCACCCTCAACTGGAAACTTTCTTATATTTCTCTTTATTCACAGTTCTATTCCAAATGTGTGTGTGTGTGTGTGTGTATGTGTGTGTATGTCTATGTGTGTGTGATAATAATGTGTAAATATTAAAAATGCATCATTGTTGTAATAAATGACCTCTGTGCACTTTGATATTTTTTAGGACTAAATTTCAAACTTTTATTATTTTTTTCGTTCATTTTTCTTTTGTTTAATTCAGTACTTCGATTAATAAAAAAATTTATCGATTATAATGGAAATTATCATATCTTCGTGAATGAATATCTCTTTCATAAGCTGCAATGGTATGACTTATGAGTTGATCTTTGATTTAAGAAATCACTTAAAAATTTTGTTATTTCTGCATTACAATATATTGATCAAGTGAATGAGTCACATAAATAAGTGCGGCTGTTCAGTTCTTAATCATTCATTCCTCAGTCTCTAGAAATTTCCCCTCCATCATTCATTTCTCTTCATTTTTGAAATATGTTGAGAAATTAACGGTGAGGATTCGATTCAGTTCAAATGATATGTGGAACAATGTCGCCTAGTTTCCTTCAATCAATGATAATTTACTTTTTTGTCCTTACATTGTTTTTCAATCGAATTTACTATTTCAGAAATGGTCAAGCTTAGTTTTTTTGCAACATTTTATCTTTCAATCATTTCATCCACAATTTACGGTAAGTTCAAAAAATAACACTTTTTACATCGATCTTATTTCTCTCTCATACTCATATATGATTAGCTATTTTCTGATCCTGATAGTAAATCTAATCACTCATGCACTCACATATAGTAGCTCGATCAAAATTATTTTCCTATGACCTTTTTACCCCATGCTATTGAAAGTGACTCAGTGTGCTTTCTTCACGGTTGAACGAAGAAACTGTTGTAATCTTACGTATGTTGGCAAGTTTGTCCGAAAAAGACAGTATTCTTGTAACAAAGAAATGGATGATCTTATACAGTGCCTAATCAGTATTAGAGAAAATGATAATTGCTGAACTTAATTAATGAGTGTATCATAATAGTAGCATATATCCTCAAGAATTCCGAAACAAAACTTCTAGCAAATTTTTTTTTGCTCATATTTAAGGATATGTATTTCCTTGTTTGGATGAGTGTCAGTGCGATACAGATGACGAAGTAATCTATTGTCATAATGGTCATCGAACTACAGTAAGTCTTCAGCAATTTTTTTAATATGTGATGTTTTGGGCGTTTGGGAGTCTTTTTTCAATTGTACACTGTATTCTAAAATACATTGTATTGATATTTTCAGCTTGAGTTGCCGGAAATTCGTTTACGGGGTTTCATAGTGATAGGATTGACAAATAATGCAATCAAGAAGCTTCCTAACGAAAAATCTCTCTTGGAATTGTTTCCGGATCTAATGGTAATTATAAATTGTCATCAGCAATTGAATGTTATTTTTAATTTGTGAGGGGAAAAAGTTACATTCAAAATGAATTTAGGCCATTGACGTGGAAGGCAATGCACAGTTTGACTGTGAGTCGCTGAAAGAATACAAAGAAATTAAAGTAAGTTATGGCAAACCTTATTTCAACTAATATTGATTTCAAAGCAACACCAGCTATTGTATTTGTAAAATAGCGATTCAATTTATAAATTTTTCAAATTAAGCTTGAAGCTCAGATAGTCAGAAATATTATTTCATCAGCTCTGCAGATATACAGTGATTGTAACGGGACCGAAATGCTGGTAACGAGAAATCATAGGTTACCGAATATTCAAGAGCAGACTGACGTAAGCTTCATTTTTGTTATAAAGAATAACAAAGCACTTTATAACACTGCTGTCTTCCATTTGTATCGTTTAAATAACCGATGTGATGAATTGGACGACATAGCACTGTAGGCTTTTTTTTCACCAGTTTTGTTTTTACTGCTGAACTTTGCCTTTTTTGGTGAGGATTATAATTGTAACGCTTCCTTATTGTTTCCTAGCTTCTTACATAAGACCGACATTTCAAAACAATAATTGATTTCAGATATGCGACTTCCAATGCCAGGTGAACAAACACTACAAAATGCTGTACAACTATCTGGTGAAATTATGGAAGGTAAAAATTTTGTATTCTTTATATTGATAGAGTTATAACCACACTAAATTTCAGCTCAGTTAATGCTGCAAGGAGGCATAAAAAGTAGAGATTTTTCCTATGTTTGCTAAAATCGTTTTAATGGCCAGTATCATATCAGTACAGTCAGATATTTTCAGTTGCTAAAGACGAAGTATAACGATATTGACAAGGATAAAATTGTCAAGGATGTGAAGGACTTCTTTGTTAATATTGCGAAGAAAATTGATCAGTTACATATGAAATAACTTTCACTTTTATGACGCATCTCCCAAAAGCAATACTTCGAAATGGTGTTGTAGTTATGCAACACAGTATTTCTCCCAGTGAATGTCTTCGAAGTTGGAAAGGTGTAAACTGTCTCAGCTCTATTCACCTTTAACGTAAGAATTTGCTGCTATTCATGCAATGAATTCAAAATTATTTTGTGTTCACTAAGGCCGCAGTGGCAATATGTACAAACTGCATCATTTATAATTTACAAGAAGTCAGCATAAGAAAAATTACTAAAAATCACAGAATCTGGAAAAGGAAAATATCACCGGTGTAATACTATATATCGCTTCAGCATAATAGCCTTAAAAGTTGATTAAGGATCACAAAGAAATATTTACATATAGTTAGAAATAAGCAATCAATGAGGAAAGCCTAAGCTAATATGAATGAAGCATTTGGGAAAAAAAACCATCTTTGAAAATGCAGCAAATGAATGTTCAATTACATGGGACTGTTAAAATGCGTGAAATATCCATGCAAAACAACATCCGCGAAACGATCTTGTAATTCCGACATTCGCGTTAGGCCTTTTGCTACTTTGTTCGTATCCACCGCTAACAATCCCCCAAAAAAAAAGAAAAAAATAAAACACAAAGAAGCATCAACTAAGATCAAAAATATTTAAAAATCATTCCCACACATTTTCAAAGCTTCTAAAAGAACCAATTAAGAACAAAAAGCAATTAGCAAAGCTGACTCAAGACTTCAGGTAGAATGAGCTATTACTATATTAGCAGTAAGTGATAGCTCTGAAACGGTCAACTATCAAGTTCAAGAGAGATCATCCAAACACAACTTGTTCTAAGTGTGTTTGCATCTAAACAGAGTCACTGGAGTGACTGGACGAATTTCTGGGTCGTTCAATCATCCCAAGACTTCGAGATCTGGGAATAGAATCTTCAGACGTAAAAAACAAAAAGCCAAAAATTCGTGCAACTGCAATAATCAAAGTAACAAAAATTACGAAGCAGGCTTAATCCATTGCTTGCAGATCAGTTTGTGGGTAGCTGTTACTCCAAAGAGATTCACCCCCGTTAAAAGCAAATGCATATTTTTCGCTAGGAAATGTTCATAATACATAACAATATAATGGCATGAAAAGAAGTAATACATCAGTGTACTGCGCTAGTGAGTTGTATGTCTTTTGATAGTTCCATAAGTTGTCTGAAAGCAATTTCATTAGAGAAAGTATCACTGTGAGTTGAATAAATCTGAAGAAATTAAACTTAAACGAAATACAAGGAATTAGCTGCCTAAAAATGCTACAACAAAATAAAAAAAGAATAATTAACAAGACCTGCGCATTATCAGCACTTTTGACTGCAGTTCTTTTTCACGTACTTTCCATTGCATCACTGTGTGCTTTATTCCATCCATTTGTTTCCAATCGCGAATCCATCGCAAAAACAGACGTTCCCAAAATGCCTGAAAGTTTGAAAATAATTTCAATTACCAAACAGTATATCAGACAAAATATATGAAATGCAAAGCTCACTATGCTTTGTGGAGCAACGCAGGGCCACAACACTGCTGGATTAGGTTCATACAAAGCATTCACGTAGGTGCGTAATATTTCGGGGTTATTCACGTACGACCAAAGCGACACTGTTCGTGTCTTAACTTCAAATTGTGCTTTTTCTTTCTCATTGTTCCCTAAAAAAATAAGTTAAACAAGACAATCATGTTAAAATTATTTGTATATTTTTTAATCACTAAATTTTTTTCACTAAAATAAAGCTACAAAATTAATATGATGTGCTACTGTGAATAAAGTTTAACATGTGTCCTTCAGTACGTTAAAGCAGGAGTACGATATTACAATAAACATTTGATTTGAAAATTACCGAGGAAAGATCCAAACTCGGAAGCATAAGCATGTTCGAACAAAAATATAAGGAACTCCTCGGTAAATTCAAACGAGCAGGGAAACTGCTGGTACACCTTTAAATAATGCGCAAACAAAATTATAAGTGGAAATTTTGAGCGTTTAAACATATATTTATAACTTTTGAAGTGACTGACCTGCCAAACACAATCCAAAAAGCAAAGAAACATGGGAGATTCATAAGGTCCTGTGATACCACCAGTGGCAAAGGCCGAATGGGCGCACCGATAGGAGAAAGGATGCCCAGCACAAATCCATTCTCGCTCAATTAAAGATTCGAAACTAAAAATAACGTTTATCCAAGCAAACTTCCATAAAACGATTGCCGAATTAACATTAGGAGATAATTTAACTCACCCTCGGATAGTGCGAGAATCAGAATCTAGAAGAAGCTGTGCCAATGATGTTATCAGAAGAGTTGAATCGGTGCCTTCAGAACCATGCACCACTACCGGAACTTCTGAAAACAGCTTTCAGCATAACATATCAAAAGAAAAGTGAGAATTTTAATTTAAAAATCAAAAAATCGGATTTCTCAAAAATAGCTTAACAAAACGGTTATATAAAAAGATACTGTTACAGACCGTTAACTGATAAAACCATTTATGTGCTTATTAAGCTTGGAGCTATTAATGCTGTTAAGTAAGATTTGTAATTTTGTATAAATTGAGATCAATCAAACTTCCTACCCTTCCCAAAACCGCACAGCGCTATCCGAGTAGTTTGAAAATTGTTGTTTATCCTATTTGTAGACAATATAGAATAAACATCCAGCGTGCAAGGATACTGAATTTAAGTAGCAACAGTATGAAAAGGGCTTCTTTCACAATATTATGATACACTTTTAGAAAAGCAATATGTCCAATAAGCAAACGAGTCAAATCGCTCCGTTTGTTAACAGCAAAATAAATTTACTGCAGTCAAACGTTCTCTGCATGTAAGTCGTCCCCACACATTAAAAATTGGAACAGGAAAAAATAAATGAAAAGTAGTCTTATCAAACTGGGTTGTGAAATTATTTTGACAAACCCTTCGGAAAAGTTAAAATCCGGAAATAAATCATTTTGAGAATTTTGTAAGCTTTAACGAAACGTTGCAAAAAATATTACAAAAATAAATTTATTAAATCCACATGTAGTGAAAAATGATGTTTTGATTTAGGTTGCCGAAGAAAAAAAATATGCATCATTTTTGCAGATTTGTTGGTTATAATTCTATGAATGATATTAATTCACCCGTCAACTAAGCAAACATTTTATTAGTCTGACTGAACAAGTGAGGAAATAAAGAAAATACGGATGACAGACCTGAACTACCTTCACAATGTACACACTGGGCCACTGTTGCTGCACAGGTTAGCATATCAGAAACTAATTGAAGCCAGCCACAGGAACCAAGACGAGCTATCCAACGGTCAACAGTGATATTCGTTTCTGTACATACTGCAACAAGATCATTCTTCGAAGAGAAAATCGAATGCTGTTTAAAAACAAGAGAAAGGCACTGTATGAGCAGACACAGTAAACTTTTTTTCTTACTGCATAAAAACATAAATAACTTATTACATGTGGCATGTTGGAACGGTAAATACAAGAATATTAGAATATGTGAGAATGATAACAGTTACCTGCTTTGATATACAAAATACCAAAAGCAGAGAGCTTACAACAGAATGGAGTCAGACATGAGTTTAAAGTTTCAAACTTTACGATAGAATGATAGCTCGAAAATGATCGTACAAAACAGTAGAAGAGCTATGCTGAGTCTAAAACAGACAAATCTAGAAAAGCTGTGCCTAACATTTCGAAAACGGAGATCATCGCAGCGGCAACCGAGAAGTTATTACGAAACTCACATTCAACTAATTTGGCCAAAGCATCATGAATTTCTTTGATTCGTGGAGTGCCTCCATACATATATTTCCACTGCGAATAAAACATCTGCGATTCACATCCGCCACCTTTAACTAAGAAAAAATAAGTACTTCAAAAATAAATATTTTCAGACTATAACATATTTATGTGATATAAGCATTTGGTTCCTAGAATTTCAAGTCATTTCATCCAGTCTCAAAAATATTTCCTTGAAAATGCCGCCAGACAAGATGAAAATATATAGTAATTTCATATCGACGGATTCTGTAACTCCAAAAACTGCTATACAGTGTTGCACGAATTGAGCTTTCGTACGTACAAAACTTTTTTCAACGAAAATTTTGAAATATCTACAACCGTAACCAACTAGTTTGGAAAGATTTGTGGGATTATATCATTCACTACTTCCTTTGTCCAAAATCAGCGAATTTTCATTCTCTGATTGTGGTAATAGATTTTGCAAAACAATCAACAGACATGAAGTTAAACGAAACATGCCACTGGATGTACCTTTATTTTTAGCGCTTTGTGCAAGTGCTTTCGTACGTGTGTCTACAATAACTCCCTTACTTGTCGAGGACAATAAAGAGTTCAGAATAGTTTCATCTTCTTTACACCGCCGATTTGTAGGACCAACTAAAGGTTGTCCGCAACGGATAAGACAAGACTGGAAAATATAATTACGGCTTTTTAAAAGAAATATTTAATCGTACCAAATTTATTGAAAATATAGCGAGGGAAATATCTATTATGAAACCAACAAATAGCAAACTTTTGTTTAACAGCAAAGCATAACAAACCTTTGTTTCTCCGTGATAGAAGCTTAATATGGGGAAACGTCCGCCATCTCGAAAAGTAGCAGATATTCTAAGATAATCATCACCAATACCTTTCGGTACAATTACCATTTCAGGATACGTACTACACACCTATTTAAAAGAACTATGTGAAGAAACCGTCCAGCACATTCTCGTAAATATCCAAGAATTACTCATAGTCTGTTCATGTATATTTCTGGTTATTTGTCGATCGCGAAAAGTATCAAAATAGCCTTCTTTTCATAATCTGACTACTATTAACAATTTTCTACATATTTGCATCCAACTTAGTAATCAAAAAGTCTCCATATAGAGCTGTATGCAATATATGATAAGCTCGCTTATATTGAGTGCATCTCAATTGTGCCCAGAGAAAAATTAAGAAAACATAAGGC